AGCACCATTAGAATTTGGGAAAAAATATTCTCACATCAATGTTAAAACAAGTATTTATATCTGGAATTTACTAGGGTTGGTATTATTTCCTAACTGCATTGTGTTTGCCACAAAATGTCCTGTTCTGCTTCGGTTTTGATGACTGATGAGTGTGTGCAGAGCAATGCCCGTGGGTCGGTTGCACACCGAGGGACGGGTGAGAGAAGCTCAATCCAGCAGCTCCAAAGGGAGTCTTTGGCTTAAGGCTTTGTCATCTGAACGGGTTTGGAAGGGCAGGGCTAAAAGGCTTTATCTGGATGTCTACCATAAGTATTTTTCTGCTCTGTCAGAGTCTGAGGCACAGAAGGTGCTGTAGAGAGTGCATGAGGCTACTCATCAGCATTTCAGAAATATTTCTTTTATTCTGACAGGACCATTTCATAGGAGCAGAAAAAAGCATTCTCTGGAACGTCTAGGAGACATTTAGTAAAATAATAACATGCTTGAAGCAGGAAATGATAGAAGGGTGAGAAAAGTTGAGACCACAAGCCAGAAATGTGGGAAGAGCTATTTTCTCTGCAATTATTTCCTGAAACTCCTTTTAGAGTCATTGGCTTTATTTGCCAACAAACTGCACATAACTAGTAGTTTGCTGCTTGACTTTGATGAAACAGTTTTAAACATTTGCTAAACTAATAATCAGAAGAACACATGAGCAGTGTAATGGAATTATCTTTTTTGGATGTTGCCTGCGTAATTTAATACACGTCTGACACTCCGGCTGCAGAGACCAGCCCGTCATTGCTCAAAAATGCAGTCATTTTCTGAGAAATGGCGTTGGACACTCTACATAGTATTTTTAACTGAGATCTTTGGGATGAACTCTACAAACTGCTTTATAAACTCAATTCTGAATAACTTCATAAAGTCACTCAGGTTGCAAAAGACCTTTAAGATCAAGTCCAACCATTAACTTCATAACTGTGTGAGTTTTTAAGATGTATCTTTAGTTGGCAGCACTGTGGGGCTGCTGAAGCTGTTAACCTAAGGCTGAAATTCAACACTGAGCTCTAAAATGAAAATCCAGGAAGAGTGGTAAATTCTGGAACTTCCTTTCCTGATTTAGCAGAATTCTGCATCAGTGATACAGGGTTGGCTCTGGGGTGGTTACACCACGGAGGCTTCCTTTTTCCTGGTGACATGTTTCTTTGGATGCAAGTGTTCCTGAGTGACACTCTTCATTTGCTTCGCTTCAGATAGTTCAGGGGAGATACCTTTCACTTGCTGAATATATTTGTCTTCTTTATGTCCTTATTAGAGGCAGCAATTCAAAAATTAGTCGCAGTCATAGCTTAAATATGAATATTGTTATGGTATGAATGTCTCCATGAACTGATGCAGAACACAGGGAATTAGTTGCAAAATGAGACGATTGGGCAATAAATCTAATCATAACCTTTACTGAATTTCTCTGGCCATCTGACTTAGGGCTCTGCTTTGTGGTGGGTCTTTGCTTGGGCTGGGGGCAGCAGGAGTTACTGCTGCAAAGGGGTAGGTGATGGGAGAGAAAGGGGAATGAAACAGAACGAGAGACAGAGGAAACAAGGAGAAGTGAGACAGGGAGAGGACGTGGATGATGAACTAAATGAAAAGGAGAATAGGTAAAATCAAGGGAAATTTAAAGAAATTCATCTACATGATGAGATGGAGACTCCTGGCAGGTTTGGGTAGTTGCAAGGAGTTGGTTGTGCTGAGCTGTCTGGCCAGAGCCCCGGGATGCTCCGTGGCCTTCGTCCTGCCAAGGTTTGTCCTTGTCATCATGAGCAGGGAATAGTCCATCCAGTTTTCCATAACAGCCTTACTACAAAGCACTCGAATGCTTAATATGGCAGGGGAGTTTGTAATTGTTGAGCTCACTACTCATCACCTGGACCTTAAACTTGGATACTGCCTTCCCAGGTTGTTCATTTAAGTAACACAGTAGTTTGCATCTAACACAAATCACAACAATGAAAATGTTATAGAGTATCATGTGTTTTCTCTTTTGCTTAATTTTTGTCTTTATACGTTAAAAAATGTAAATTCCTTGTCTATTTTTAAAATAAATCAATTCAGGAGGTGTTTGGGCTAAGCTTTAGTGCATGTTGTCTCTCTAACTAAAATCAGTTGGGTTTCACATGATGTAGTATTTATCAAACTATGCAATTCATTTTATTATGCAAAAGTTGTTGTTGTTTAAAGTCTAAAAATATGTTTAAAATGCTAGTTTCTACTTAATGTGAAATGTATTTTTTTCCCTTTGCAAGGCTGGATAACACCTTAGAGGAAATTATATTTAAGCTCGTGCCTGGACTTCGAGAACGTAAGTTCAGCTGCCTGTTTGGGCTGATGGGGAGGATGTGGCTGTTTGTAAGGATATACCTGTAGCATTGATTTAAAAATTCACACGACTCTTCTTTGATGTTATCTAGAGGAACTGCAGCGAGAGATTGAGTTTTGGAAGAAAAACAAACCTCAAGAAAACGGCCAAGGTGATGCTTTTGTTCCCCTCTCTGATGTGTGTGTCCGGTGACGTTGCTCGTTACGCCCCGTTCCCTCAAATGCTGCTGCGTGTGCATTGGTTTTACTGAACTCAGAGGGACCTCAGAAACTCATAACAAACCTGTGTAACTGGGCTCTGGCCCTCCCCGTGCTGCTGTGCATCTGCCAGCCACTTCTGTTACAAACACTGACTCTATTACCGTTACTTCACTTGCATTACCCTGAGCTCTCACTTTCCACACTCATGCGATTTTCTACTTGAATTCTTAATTTCCTTAATAACAGCAAGATGCAGAACTACGTGAGTTTGTTACAGATCATTTTCCGTTACTGAGTTTGACCAGCTGTTAAGTAGGAGGTTGTCAAGAATTAGTTATGACAAGTAGTAAAACGATTTTCCACACATGCTAAACAATTGGTTTCTAGAGATTCCAAAGTGCCTTTCCTTTTTTTCCTTTCCTTTTTCTTTGTTTTGCAGTTGACCCATGAACTTTGAGAGCTCAGTTTTGAGGTGCTAAGTGAGGAATACATCCAACTGTTTTATAGCCCTCTAATTTGACATCAAGGTTTTGATCTTGTAGCCTGTTTCATTTGGGCACTCCTAAGAATTTTTTAAAAGCTTTGCTAAGCTAAAGAAATAACTATTTTTAGTAAAGGATCACTGTCAAGTAAACATCTTGCAATACTGTTCTGCACTCAACTGTTTATAAATCTTCTTTTCAACTTCATAACATCTCATTTTCTTTCTCACTAGTTTTGTTGATTTGCATTTGGCATCCATTGTAAGGGACAAGGTTCTTCATCATATAAATAAATGAAGAACTGCGGGACATTTTAGATGAAATTATGTTAGTTTACTAGAACACACTGTGTAGCATATACCTATTCAGTTTTAAAAATACTTAGAAAATATTTTTAGTTATATAGATATTTATTGGAAAACTATTTTCTGCTCTATAAATAGATAGAAAAAAATATGTAATTTGCAAAATTATAGGAAGTTACTTACTTATAATCAATTTATTCTTCTGGTTCTTACCTTCTTCCCATATGTTAATGGTAAACCTAATGAAGATCAGTTACTAAGTGTAATGAGTGATTGGATTGCTTTGTAACTCTCAAAATATACTTTTAAGTAGCTACAGATACATCCAGCTCTGTTTGTGACTGTATCCTTGCCTTGCGTAGGATAGATGTGCTCTGCCAAAAAAAATGGGGAACATTCCTCTTTTTTTATGTTTTTTGTTTTTAAAGAGGAATAAGTAAGTATATGGCTATTTAGTTATGAAATCTTTCTGGAGAGAGACACCTGGAGTTTTTACAGTGACGTTACTTAGACCAGGTCAAAAGTGGATGGAAACTTTGTCTTCCATAGTTTACTTCATGATAATGTTTCAGGAACTTCAGTAACTGGGTTATTGTGGCAGACAGTTCATAGGAATTGATTACTTTGATATACAGGTGTTGGGATTAGTTATCCCACTGTTTATTGAAAAGCAGTATTTTTGGCAGTAACCTGCCACCCCATAAGAGCAGTTTTACATTTTTGAGTGATCTTGAGGGTTTTAATCACTGGACACAAACAGGAGCATTGGTCTGTCAGCCTAATTATTTTCTCTTATGTAGAAATCTATTGTTTGCATGTTGCATTAAAATTTCAGTAGTAAAATATTGTTTTCAGAGATTTGTAATTTGATCAGTATAAGAATACACTGAATTAAAATGGCATGAAGTTAAAGAAAAAATACACTCTTGAAAATGAATACAAGTTTTAAATACAAGTTTGTTGCTACGACTTCTAATTATTTTACACTTAAATAATACGATCTTTATATTTAGCAGACGAAAGCCCAAAAGCTGATAAACCCAAAGTAGATGAGGAGTGTGATGAAAATGAAGACGACAAGGACTATCACAGGAGCGACCCCCAGATTGCCATCTGCCTGGACTGCCTGCGCAACAACGGGCAGTCGGGGGACAACGTGGTCAAAGTGAGTAGTGACAGTGGGGGCTGCTGGTATAACCCCTCACAGGCACCACAGCATTGCATAACCACTCACCATAAACTTTAACGTCCACTTCCACACTTATTTAGTCCTTTTGTTTGAGGCATTTTGAAGCGTCTTGGAATTTTGAAATATACAGTTCCGTACAGAAATCCATCTGTGACAGTGGATTTTTATATTTTTTTTAATGGATTACAGTCTACAGCCTGGATGGCATTAAAAAGCCAGCTGTAGGTGAGCTGCCCACACTTCAGGAACACTGTCTTACAAAGCTGCTTTGCAGTTATGATTTGGATCCAGATCTTCTGAGCTGTAACCCTGATCCCGAGCCTGATGTGTCACCTGTAGCCTGGGGCAGGTCACTCCCACCTGTAAAATGTGTAGAGTAATGCCTGCCAACTGCTGCTTTAAGAATTAGGGATATTTGGTTCTATTTCTGAAGGCAAGATTAACTAATGGTAGAAGGAATTGTTTAGAAATCCTCATAGATTTTAATAATTTATTAAATTATGAAGACATGAATTAAAAAGATACTTAAAATTTGTCTAATAACACACTACTTGTTTTCCGTGTGCTATGTTACATGTATAATTTTGGAAGCTCTTATGCAGTAAGAAGGTTTTGATTCAGCAAGAAAATGTGTGTATGTGTTATTAGTGCCTATTTTTATACAGAGTAAGAAATCCGTGTCTCCATCGCCATGGAGGAGTCTCAGGTTTCCAGCTTTCCTGCTGAATCAAAGCTATCAGGTTCTGGATCGCAGAATCAGTGATAACAGAGCACAGCTCGGGTTTAGAGCTTCCCTGTATTTCACCTAGATTATGTGAGGATGTGTTAACTTCCTTTTTCTCTGAGGGACTGAAGAGATTTGAAGAAACGTCCCATCTGTTTGAGCTGGGTGTTGCTGACACAGACACTTAGATTTAGTTAAGGTCTTCTGGGGCTTTTGCTGGTTTTGGTGGTTTGGGTTTTTTTCTTCCCTGCCTTTCGTGTCGTTTGGAAATTTCTTTAGAACCAGAGATGGGTCGAATGAACTTGTTTGACATCTTGTAAATTTTGCAAAAAAAGGTGAACAGAAGTGAACCTATTGTGCCACTATGGATGGAGAGAGCGCAGTAAAATTGGTTACTGCTTGAAAAAAAAATGAATTACAGCTTTTCTTGTACTAAGGATTGCTTACGTGCTTCAAACGTGCTTTTTCTGTTTTGTTGCATGAACCTATGGTGTCATTATGGATGGAGACAGCGTAAAATTGGTTACTGCTTGGAAAAAAAATGAATTACAGCTGTTCTTGTACTAAAGATTGCTTACCTGCTTCAAACGTGCTTTTTCTGTTTTGTTGCTGTTGCTTTAGGGTTTAATGAAGAAATTCATCCGCTGTTCTACTCGAGTGACCGTGGGAACTATCAAAAAGTTTCTCAGCTTAAAATTAAAACTTCCGAGTTCTTACGAGGTACATTTGAAATAATGTTGCTTGTATTTTTATTTCCCTCCGAAGTATTAGGTTTTTATGAAGTTTAATCACATTTGAACTTGAGGAATATTTTTTTTTTAGCCCAATCACTAAGTACTGTTTGATTTTCCAAGTTATATTTTCTGCCCTTAAATGGGAAGTGATCATTTTGTCACAGTGACTGAAGCTGCTGATCAGAGGACTCGTGCACTTTTAGGAGCTTCAGTTTGTGCTGCATCCTGTCGCAGATATTTTTATCTAAAAAAATAAATGCTTTCTCTTTCCATGTGGCTAATAAAAAAAATCACTGAATACGGTTTGGGGATAGTAAGTACTGCAGAAAGGAGAGATCAGCTAGAGATACACCAAATTACTCTGCACCTGCAGTTTGTGTAGCTGTAAGAAACTGCCCAGTAATTAGGAGCAGGTGAGGAACCTTTAGAATGATTGGGGAACGCAACATCCTGCCTCTGCTAGGAGTTTGTCACGGGATCATGACATGCTGACCAGCCATTTGATGACGTTTGCTTTTGAATTACTTTATCATTTACTTTAAAAAACTGAAAATTACAGTATTTGGGGTTTGTATCTTTGGGTTTGAAAGAGCATTGATGTAGCAAGAAGGCCTTCAAAATGCAGCAGAAGGCTTTGTCTTCAAACCGGTGGCATGTGGTATTGATAAATACAGGGAGAGTTTGTCTTCTAATGATTTCCTGCCCAGTTTCATAGCCTTCTTCTGTCCACATCTTACCTGAAAACACAAAAGTGAAAAACCCAGGTGGAATAACACTGTACAAAGTCACATGTTGTCAGTGTGGTGTGTTTGTCCAGGTTTGAGATACACAATAGTTGTATCAGATGTAACGGCAGCAGTAGTGGGATTAACTCTCAGACATTCATTTACAAGTTAGACATCAACATTTGGAATCCCTTTGTCTTACTGTGTGTTCTGTTGTGTTTTAAGCTGGACGTACTATGCAATGGAGAGATCATGGGGAAGGATCACACGATGGAATTCATCTACATGACCAGATGGAGACTAAGAGGCGAAAACGTAAATGCTGTTACATTATTGACAAATGATGGTTTGGGTGTATTTAATATAGAGAGTATACATGCTTTCACGACTTGTCCTGAAATATATTCTGTGACCATTCAGATATCCCTATACTTAAAGGGATATTTACATTTAAACATGCATTTTGCATGTTTTCTGATTTCTCATGTTACACCCTGTGATTGAGACCCTGCAGCACGTTTGTTGTGCAGATTCTGAAACTTCAGACCAGCAGGTGTACAAAGTTTACACCCAATTTCTGCTCAGTTTTGAGTCAAGCAGCTGAAAAGCAAGCGCTTGTTCTTTTTCTGCAAATTTCCTTTCAAGTGACCTTTGGAGTTGTACTAGTTGGGGATCTGCACCCAGCAGTTCTTTATGAAGAATCTGTTGTATTCAGGCAGGGAAGTGAAAGTGACACTGAACAATTGTTGCAGAAGTGTAATCTGTTTGTTATTGTTTCTGTTTATACTACACCCATGGTTTTTTGATAGGCTGTATAACACAGCCAGAATAACAGCTAAATAGGTTTTCCTTGATGCATGAGCATATTTTAAATTGCAATATTTAACCTTTATTTCTGGTCTGGTAGTCAGTAACCCTTAATTGCCTTGTGTATTTAAATATTTTTTTTGTTAGATGTCGTATCTCTATTTCTTCTCTTTCTTTTTGCTCGAGTGTGGCTGGTGATTGTTCCTCACCCTTTGCTGGTGTGTGGTAGGTGCAGGTTTGTGGTGTGTAGTGGGGGCTGTAGTGGGGTGCAGCTAAGGCTAAGCACTGCCCAGCTGTTCATTTACTGAGCTGTAAAAAATTCCAAACTCTCAGTACTCTTTTTTTTTTTAAGCTTCCAAGTGCTCAGAGTTAAAACCACTGGGGCACGGACAGAGAAGACAGAGGATTAAACACACTGTGGAGTTAAAAATTCACAAGTTTAATGAAGTTTTACCTTAATCTGAAAAGAGAGAGAGAATAAAAGAAAGATAGATTTTGGTAGGAATTAGGGGAGTTAATGTATATAGGCAGGTATTCAGTCATTTTGAAGGTGAAGTTGCACCGAAATGTGGTGATTGTTGAAACCCCAGTATCAGAGCAATAAGGAAACTTTAAGTAGTACTTTTTTCAGTACTGCTGTGAAAGCAGTTCTTTGTTTGGCTTACCATCTTCTGCTTTGGTTAGCAGTGGCTGTGCTACTGGGAGATATAGAGGCAACAGCTTTAGTGATAATGGAATTCTCTCAGGACACGTAACGCTGCAGCCCCCATCTACAGATGGGCTTTTGGCACCTGCCTTGGTTTAGAAGCAACAAGAGCTATCATTTTTAACATTAAGTGAATGTAAGAGTTGATAACTCTTGATGAAATGTACAAGTTGTGATTACACACACAGAGTATAGTCAGGTGTGTGGTCATGGTTTTGATTTACGTAGTTTTAACTCACCCCTCTGAAGTCAGAGATGGCAAACTGAAACCTGTAAAAATTACAGGTGATAAACCCAGTAACATTGGGTCTGCTTAGAAAACAGAAGTTCTGATGGTAATTAACTAACAGTCTCTTCTTTTGGATGAAGATCAGGTAAATCCATTGTCTCCATCGTTGGTACTCTTCACCATGAGCTTTTACTGGCACACCTTTGGACTTTACAAGAGGTAGACTAGTAAAGGGAAAATATCATCCATTTATTCCTTAGAGAAGTATTTCCTGTTTTAAATAAGTAGATTAATTTTAAACTTTGCATTTGAAAATTTAAAAAAAAGAAAAAAAATGGTAAATGTGTATGTCCGGCTGTGGATGCCTCTTATCTGATCAGAAAATCATCTCCTTCGCAGTTTCGGTGTCAGAACTGCTCATCTTCGCAAGTCTGCTCAGAGGATGGCACTTTTTATCAGGTAAGAGGCACTCACGACTGTACATACCACAGTCCTCAGGCTCCTCTCGGCACTTCTGCTGGAGCCCACCTGGTGGAGTTTTTATAATTCCTGCCAACAAAGTGCTAAAACTCTAGGAGTAAGGCCTGAGCTTTTTCGTTCCTTCAGAAGAAGCTTTGTGGAATGAATAAATAGAGTCCATTCTAAAGGTCTAGGGGTTTCTTTTACTTTCCATGAGGCCGTTTCTCTGTTTGTTAGAGAGCTGATACCCCACCTCCAACCACAGCGCTGGGATCAGAGCTGCAGTGTGAACCCAAAGAGACTGCTTTGGCTTCAGCTCTTTATGGCAATTCATATGTTCTTTTTAATGGAGTAAAAAAATGTTACATTTTTCTAATATTGTATTCCTTTCACATCTTTTAAATTTAGAAATGGAATAATGCCTTATCTCTAGCATATAACAAACCAAAATCTCCAGAACCTGCAAACTGAAGTTTATTTCTAAGTCTCTTGATCAAACTGGCTGATACCTATGGGAAACAATATTTTGGTTTCCTCATTGAGAATTTGGATTTGAACTAATTTCTAAAAGTTACCTTGGAATTTTGAAATCATATTTTTGCTTGAGCAAAAAATTAAAGAGTTAATGCCAGAGGGTCAGTCCCCAGTGTGGATGGGAGTGACCTCCTGCAGTCCTGCCGGCTCCAGTCACTAGAATTGTTCCAGTGCAGTGCATTTTATTTATACGGTTGGTTTGTCGTTTTGTTTGCAAAACCCCCGAGCCTTGCTGGTCTGCACGGCAATTTCTGTGAGGTGACTGCTCTGTCCCTGCCCCTCTGCACTCCCCAGTAGAGCTGAGTCCTTTTAGAGATGATTTAGGTAATCAAAGTGGGGGAAAAAAAAGTAAAATAGCACTTAAATAATATGGTAGGCATATCCTATGCAAAAAAATCAGAGACCAAGTAATTTGTGATCCTACAAAGATAGGTTTGTTAAGGGCACACACCGACTACACAGGCATTTTATATTAATAACAAATAGCTACAACTATAACTGACTTAGAGATTAAATATAGATTTGAAGTACAGGTATGGATTTAACTGTGGAAATGCATAGAATAAATTACATCTAAATAAAACTGATGGCCATATACGTGTGTTTTAGGGAAAAGCTCTGTCTATTCCTAAAGCAATCTTTAATTGCATTTTCTTTGTATTTTTTTATGAATTATGTCTTCATGTTTTCTTGTCTGTTTTTGTTGTTGGTTTTCTCTTGTTTTTAGTCTTACCCTATGGTACTTCAGTATCGACCTAGAATTGACTTCGGTTAGACCAAAGGGCCAGATCCCACTGAGATGAATCCTGCACTATTGTTTACCCATCGACAGATTGCACAATGAATGGATGTGCCTGGATTAGGGGGACACAACCAGATTTTCAGCATGCAAATAAGGACATTGTCTTTCTTAAAATCGTCGGTTGCATCTCTGTTGTTTCTCTTAGAGCAAGCTAAGTGCCATTCTGCTACTGAAATGTGCATAAAGATATTTGTGTATCTTACGAGTGTGCTGCAAATCATAGCCAAAATCATGACGTGTACAGTCTGGATTCAACAACTATGGAATATTTTTGCTTGCGTGTTAGAACATTTCCCTGGTCCGAATATCGGTTACACTAGCAAAACAGCAGAGTGCCCATCCCGTGTGCTGTTGTGGTTTCACACACTTGCTATTTTACTGAATAGTGTTGTTTAAATCATAGAGTACTGTAAAAATAACTAAGGATTATACCTTGAAGATATTTTGTATAGAAGATATATTTAGAAGAGTGGTAATTGGGCCACTAACTTTTTCTTGATAAGCTTCTCACGGGTCCAGGTATAGCTCACTCATGAGTGTGCAACGGTCCTTTTGCAGTGAGGGAAGATTAATTACCGCTAACGAGAGGTGTAGAACGTGGTAATTCAAAACAGTCATTTTAAATCTTCTAAATAGATTCTGCTAATATTGCTTCAAAGCATTGCAGCCTTTCTGATTGCACTTTTCTATGGTTTCCCTAAAGATTGGAGTTTGGGATACTAGCTGTTTTTGGAAAATGGCTTCTGGTCAGGTTACATTTCTTCTAATAAAGCCTCCATAAAAAGGAAGTTAAAAATAACATGTCTATGGAACAAGTAGATTTCACTGTAAGGTTACAAACCAAGGCAACGTTTTACATAAGTATTGCCTTTTATAGTAAACATTTCCTTTTAAGATTGGTTGGAGGTATATAATATGCTAAAGGAAAAGTAATATATAGCTTTAATGACATTCTATATGATATCTCTGGTGACTACCTGGAGTTTAGCATTCATCATGGAAGTTTTCATTCCTATTTCTGTAAAAGGAGAGGTGATGCAATACTGAAGATGAGCCGTCTGACCAAAAGCAGTGCTCAGGTCTGGTTTGTGCTGGATAAAGAGTGATTGTGGCCTTAGGTATTGCAGGGGTGATGGTTCCAGTGCAGAGTGGCACTGGGGGCTCTGGTAACGCCGCAGGGAACGCATTGACCCATCTGTTCTCCGTAGTCTTCCGTTGTCTTTGCTCTGCTTAACGGTCAGTTGAGATTTTCACTTCAAATTCTGTGGAGAAACTTGGAGTTTAGTACCTTTATGTAATTTCCACTTACTCCACGTACCATCTACAGCACTTGCTGGTGTTGCAGATAACCATCGACTCTCTGATGCCTTGTGCCAGCAGCAAAAGGAACCAAATCACCTTTTCAGAAGCTACTGTAGAGCAAACTAATCGCAGTTAGATAAGACAGAGTGGAAATTCTGTCTCGGGATAGAGTATGAAAGACAGATGCAGGGCTGTCACCCCTTTGTAGATTTTTGTTCGTGTTTCTGTAGGGAGAAAAAAAAAAGCATGTTTTGGGTGAAGTCTGGCCCCGCTGGTGTTAGCAGGAGTTGTGATGCTGATGACTTGAGGAGTGGGTGTAGAGTCAGGTGAATGTCTCCCATTGCACTCCAGAGCCCAGCTGAGGTGCAGAAAGGATGCTGTGGGCAGCACTAGGAAACCTGCCCTTGCAGGTCGAGGTTGCACATATTGTTTGGTTGCTGCTGAGCCTGGGGAAGAAAAGTGTTGGGGAAGATGGTGCTCCTCTCCCCAGACTGGTCCAGGCACTGATTTGCCCACCCAGTCCGTGATGTGCTACGTGACAGGAACCAGAAGGTTCTCCGTGGAGCAGGGGGGTCTTCTCCTCTGCAGGGTCTCTAGGGAAAAACAGGGTTTTTGTGTATATAGATAGAAGTCCTCCTCCTGGGGCAGCTTGGAAGAGCAGGGCACACGTTCTAATCGCAAATCATTCTTCAGTATATCCAGTTGTTTTGTACGGTAGGAATAGGATATCATTTGTAAATATTTACCTGCACATACCAGTGACACCTTACAGTTTTTATATGTGTCACGTGTTTTTATACCAGAATTTTCACTGTAGATTCACTAGAGATAAAACGCCTGGCTCAGTTTGTCACAAAGCTAATGGTAGTGCTCGTCAGTGTAATTCTTACTTGGGTCAGGGGACAACTTTTTTCTCAATGGTTGCACTGCTGTTTTGCCAAATATGAACAGACTGGTTTTAAAAAGAGAACACCACAGTAATTTTAATCCATTTTTGGTGATGTCCAAATGGTTATATCCATTTATGCATCCACCTGACAGGACCCCTGAAATAGGACCACTTTGGATTTGCTTCTGAATGACAACTAATAGAAGATTTGACAGTTTAATGACTTTCTGTATTTGCAGTTCAGAGAGCCATGAATTTCTCTTGATCAGAATTGGACGTTGGTTTAATTCATGGCATTTTCTTGATGGAGCTTAAAGCTTGATTACAGAAGGCAAATCTTCATTTTAAGCATGGAAAATACTGACAGGTAGATGTGATGTTCCCAGCTGAGAGTCATGGCATCAAGTGCATATGGTCTGGCCACCTACGCCTGATGCATTGCTGATCTGACAGCACAGTGCTGTTATATCCTCATACTGTTACTGTTTCATGGTTTTTGTGGCAGTGAAGTGCCCGTGAAATACATATCTTAACGGGGCAGCTGGTGTAACACAGGCATTGCCTTTTTTGCAGGCAGTTTCACTGTTGTATAGCACGTATGTGTCGTGTGTCTGCAGATCTGCACGTTGAATTCCTTTGTGCCAGTGGAGAATTGCTGAGCAGCGTAGGATACGGGGGTGCCTGTGCAGGGTCCTGTGTGCCAAAGATGGGATAAAGTGACCCAAGAACGTGAGCATTCCATGAAAACTGTGCTGAATGCCATGGTGGAGCAGGTTGCTGTACACAGCCACACTTGTGGGCATTGCCATGGCAAAGGCTCACCCCGGCATGTTCATAAAGAATAAGGATATAAAACACGTGTTGCTGCCACTGTTTCCCTGCCTTTGCCCCATGGGCAGTACCTTGCTGCAGAGGAATAAGGCCTAAAAAATTTCCCTCTACTACCTAATCTTGCTCTCTTATTTAGCACATTTGGTGCTTTTTTTTTTCTCTAAAAGTGAAAAAATTTATGTGCTTTTAACTGTGTGGTAACTCATTAACGAGCATCATGATGAACTTTTTGTGGAGCATAGCTGCGTGCTGCGTTTGTCTCGTAACAAACTGAGCAAGATCCTGTAATATCTCAAACAATATGGAATTAGATGGTTAATCAAGAAACGTTTCTTCCACCACACTTTACTACACTGCTCTTAGCTAAGGGCCTAGTCCTACAAATGTATTTTTATTTGGATGAAATACCAAATAAGATTACTGCCACCCTCTAAGTGACTCACCACTGTAGTAGGTCTGTTCCCCTGAAAACTTCTAGGATTGGATTGCTAGGACATCGTGCAGACTCACTAGCTTGAAGTTATTATGCAAAAAAATATTTCTAAAAAGTATTGTTTTGACTTTACTGAAAAAGCTATCTAAAGCAAAGTGCCTGATTATTAATCCAGAATACCTTGTAAGCCCATTATTTGCATTCAGCAGGGTCATGTTTGCTTCTGTATTTTAGCTATGGTCTTAATGTTTTCAGCAAGGCTATTTCATAAACATGCGATATTGAGATGCTTTCTTTCATGGAAAACAAGCAGAAAAAGCAATTCAAAATTTAAAAAAAAACTATCTCTGCAGAAACTTTAGACTATTTCATAAACATGCTTTCTTTCATGGAAAACAAGCAGAAAAAGCAATTCAAAATTTAAAAAAAACTATCTCTGCAGAAACTTTATGAACAGAATTACTTTTATATTGAAATGATTTCACTTTCTGCATGAGGAGAATATTGAAATGATTTCACTTTCTGCATGAGGAACTCTTGAATTCTGGATCTTTGTCTTTTTTCTCCTTAGGCTCCAACAATTTGGCTTGACTTTTCTCTTCTGCAGTTATGGAACACAGTTCTGGTGTGTCTGGGAGAAAAGGGATCCATCCCATTCCCTTTAGGTACCAGCTGGGCTCTTGTTCTGCAGGCACAGGGACAGGCTGGAGTTCATTTCATCTCCCCCATCTGTAATTGTTGGATGTGACTTTGTGAGAGAAGCAAACAAGGTTTCCTTCTCTGCTCTTTTCTGAAATAACAGAATAGGGCAGGCTTTAGTCACTCAGTTGTATTGTTCCATTTGTGGCTTTTTTTTACATTTTCATGTCACTGAAGACACCAAGAGACATTCACTCCCCAGAAGAAATCCTTTTGGGAGGACTTGCACCAAAAGGAGTAGCATCCAGCTCAGGCAGGTCCCACGTCTGGCAGAAATACTAGAGAAAGATCATTCTTCAAAGCCAGACTTAAGTCTCAAAATAAGCAGGTCGAGCCCTGTTCATAGAGGGGCCACCTGAAATACTCGTCAGTTCCATGGACTGATCCCACTCGTTCTTATCCCAGAAAAGACGGAAGGCACTTAGGGCGTAGATGCCTGTCCACGACAAATAGATAAACATAGAGATGCTTAAATCAAGAGCTTGGTCCAGTTTCTTCACATCACCTAGACAGGTTGAAGGCATCTGTTTGATTCCGTCAAAAATGTTTGTATCTTGCAGGATATTCCCCTCACTTTACTTGATGCCATGTTGTTCTATTTATCTCAGTGACAGTGTCTCTTCAGGCACCCTCTGTCATTCATTCTAGGTTCTTGCACATCCTTTGCCCATTCCATGCCCCACCCCAGTTCATCCCAGTGAGGAGAAACACTGAGGAGTTACAAAGGAGACACGTAGGTGAGGAGTGGGCTCGTGAGTTTGGGTCCCCAGGCAGCTCTCCTTTGCTCCTTTCAACAAAGTGTTGTCTTGGAACCCTCCATGGCCCATTTGAACAAGGTGGTGCTCCAGCAGGGTGTTCAGCTGGAGGTACTCGTTGGAGGAAGGCTTGCAGGCTGCTAGAGCCTCTTCAGGGGAGTCCTAAGACACGAGGGGATTGATTCACCCAAAAGGGAGTGTGAAAAGCTTCCAACTGCTCGTTTCCCCCTAGTTTTATCCCATCTGGGCAGTCTGGCCTTCGGACCTCAGCTGAAACACCTTTCTCTAGGAATGTCCTCCAGAAGATGATCTTATGATGTTAATACATTTTTCTTCATAAGCAGAGCTTTTAAAACTACTGTCTATGCTGTCTGTAGGTCAGATTGAACCATCAGATTCCAGAATAGGAAATGGATTAATTAATGAATTCCTGGCAGATTCTTCCATCCCAGGTATGTGCCATAAATGGTCTTCTGGATTCGGGTAGCTACTGCGGCTGAGGGAGGATGGTGTTTCATTCTCTAGTAAGGGATTTCGATCCCCGTGGTTGTGGAAGTTGGCAGTGAGTTGGAGGAGCCCAGAGATGGCCAGGGACCTCCTGGCTGCCCTTGGACCTGTAGGATGGAGGAGATGGTGTGGAATGAAAGGTGTCCACAAGCGGAAGCTTTTGTGAGTCCATTCAGTTTAACCAAAGAGAGGCATTGGTTTGACTTGGCATGTTTATCTGAACCATTAGCTGTACTTTGCTTTGAAGTAACTTGTGTGTGTTTTTAGGAAATGCTCCTGTTAACGAGGTTAATAGCATGAGAGTTGACAGAAGTAGTTACCCAGTGCTCTCCTTTCTCCTCGTGGTGGTGAGTGGAAGGCAAAGACTTGAGCTGGGGTCTGCAGAGTACAGGAGGATTGCTGCAACAGCCAAATGTTGGTGCTGCCAGTTCACCTGCTGAGCTTTGTGTCACAGCTGGGATAAAGATTTTTATTATCAAAGCACAAGGCACGTATTTTCTGATGGGATTCCACTCCTGAAATTCTGGTTTGTCTTACATTGAGGACAGTAGACGTTGCTGCTGTGGCCTCATGAATTTTGATGTAGTAAAATGGAACATGCTCCCATTTTCCTGAAAAATATCCCACATTAATTGATTTAAAATTACCTTTTGTTGTCAGATATTTAGTTTATTCTTTAAAAAAAAAGGTTTTTTTTTAAAAATAAACTATTTTTATGGATAGTCTGATTGCCTAACAGTTTTAAGGGGCCTATCTAATACCAAAGGTAAAGCCACCCAGGAACTGGCCTGGCGTAAGGCGTTGGCACTTTCCTGGGGTGCAGTGGCCAAGAGAGACACCAGGGACCATCAGGCAGAACCTGGCTGGTGGGACCTGTCCCCGTCACCCAGCCGAAGGGCCGGGCACACAGGGCAGTTTCCAAAACAAACAGGAAAGGTAAAAAAACCCACCCAACAGGAGCAGGAAAAGGTAAAGAGAGCTGGAGTGGCTGTTGGAGCCGGTGCTTGGGAAGAGAAGCACAAGGGCCCGTGTTGCTGATGTGTCTGCTGTACCTGGCCCAGGACATCCCCAGAACTGTCACCCGGCTGCGGGGGGACATCCCCTCCGAGCTCAGTGACACTTCTGGAGGGTGGGGAGGACAGAGTTGGAGGATAACGAGAAGAATCTAAGTGTGTTTTACAGATTTTTATAGATATTTTTTTAGCGAGCGGCGTTGCTGTCCTTGACACGAGACCATTGTTTAGCAAGAAGTCGGTTATTTTACTTGAGCAGTGTAAAATAGAAATGAAGAAATCCAAATATCTTGATTTCCTTTGCCAGGATAGTGATTAACTAACCTGGAAAGTAATAGGACAATTTAATTCTTCAGCTGACTGAAATACTTCATTGTGAAAATTTCCTGATGGTATTTTTTTCCTCAAATACAAGCTTCCTGGAATAAACATGAAGCGATGTGTCATTTTGTCCCTTGTTGCAGACTTACCTATTGAAAGGAAAATAGTGTGTGGGTGGTTTGTTTTTTTTTTTTTAAAACGAGTGCAAAGCCGGAATTGTTGGAGGTTCCAGGCTACAGAGTAGATGCTGTAGAGTTACTCTCCATGGATTATTTTTGGGACGGGGGCCTAAGTGTCCTTAAATAAGCTGTGATGCAGGTTAGGGTAGGGAAGGAGCCTACGGTGAGCAGTGATGATGTTCTCATGCGTCCTTGCGTTGGATCAGTAGTTCCCAGTTTTGACTAGAGCAGCCCTCACGGTGCGTAGGAGCTCATAGAACATATCGTGATGTTACGTTGCTGATTTGTTTTAAAATATAAAATGTTTTAAGCTTTTTGTCAAAAGTGATAACATCATATTACAAATAAACCTTTTTGTGGTTGTAAAATTTAGCTTATAAATCATTCAAATTGAAGTGAAAAAAACACAGGTCATTGTTAATGACAGTCTATCCTACTATTAAGAATATATGTATTTTTGTAAAGGAAAAGCACTTGTAGATATTTAATCAGTCCAATATCTATCTATGTTAATGTTTTGAAAAAAAAAAAAAAAAAGAGAAAACAAAATGCTGCTTAGAGAATCACTTACATATTTTTATTGTTTGTGCTCAAATGCATTTTCTGTTGGTTTCTGGAATGTTTATTCTGTGTGAAGCTGTGTGGTTAGTGCAGCTGGGCTAAAGGCATTGCTTCCCCTGGTCACTCCTGTGACACTGAGTGCTGTCTGACCAGAGGCTGGGGGTGCTGGGCTTCATCCTTGAGATTAGCTTCACCCTGCCTTAGCACGTTTCTACTTCATCATCATTGTAAAAACTGCCTATGATTTTTTTTTTGGTGGTGTTTGTGTTTTAACGGATGTTTTAGGGTGTATTTGGTTGTATCTTACTGTACCTATAAACGTTTTTACACAATGGTGACAAAATTTTACATACGGTATTCAAAAAGCAGTTTCCCAGAGGAGAAACGATGCCAGATTAGTCAAGTTTGATACTTCCTTTCCCCCAGAGGAGAGTACTGCTGGGTACGTGCATGGATCATGATTGCATTGCTAAAGTTTCTGAGCACTTGTACAGATAGTATTGTTTAAGTTCAGAATAACTCATTTCTTGCAATATTTTGCAGCTGTTACATGAATATCGTCCATTTGTATAATTTTTATTAAGAGCTAATTGCTGTATGAATTAATTGGGGGTCAACATCTCAGGGTCCATAAAGTAGCATTTTACACCAGTCCATTGGAGCTGTGAGTGCAATACCAGGATTGCAGTCGTGTGTCCTTTAAAGAACCAAATCTGTTGTGTTTTGAAGTATTTTAAAAAGCACTGGGAATCTCACCCAGTTCTACCAAAGGAATGTTTGTTGTTTTGGTTTTTTTAAAAAAATCTGTGCTAAAATCCTTCGAAGCTGAGTGTGACCCTGGGAAAAACGAGCCCCCTCTCCCCAGGTTAGCACTAATGAGGAGTTTTACAATGAAATAAGGGGAGTTTGGGTATTTTGGGGGGGGTGTGGCAAACCCCTGTGGTCCTGCCTCTTGGTCCAGAGCTCAGTGTGCCTGTAAGCAGGATTTGTAAACATGATTTATTTTAGAACAACAGTTCATGCAAACCCTGTAAATGGCCCTTGTAGAACCTCATGTGAAATATATCTGATATTAGTGATATTTCTGACTCTGTAACTACCTGTCTGGCTCCGCACGGTGACGTTCGATCCAGAGCTTTGTGCTAATGTCAAGGATGTTCCCAGCACCTTCCTCACGGCTGGTACAGGGGGTTAGGTCTGACCCCAATGCTGCAAGAT